TGATACTAGATAAATTATTGTGTAGTATATTTTTCAGAAATTAAAGACATCAATAGATTTTCAATTTTCAACCTCAGAAAAAAATCAATTTTCATTTTCCACGGAAAGATTATTAAATTTTGAACTGTTATATCATCCAAAATGAATGTTGATATTTATGTAGTTCTCAGCCAAAAAAAAAATAACCAAATTCCATATAAATACATTAATGAAGAGAATTATGCAACTTTCAACTTCCACAAACAGATAATATAAACAAAAACTAAAACAGTCAAAAAATAAAATGAATATCATCAAACTGGAATACACTTTGGAAAAGTATCATTATCTTGTTAAATATTAAGAGAAAAACCTTGCATACTATATGTTTGGCATTCTATTCATTTAATATATTTCCTCAATTTTCATATTGCAGTTCTTCAAAAATCTCAAAAATAAACTTCAACGGGAAAAAAAAGAACAAACTCTTCCCTTAAAGTAACTTTGGACAATATAATTCATGATGTATGGTACATATACTAGAACTGCATGGGATGATATTAATGTGGAATTATTTTAATAAATTGATGGATGTAGGCGTTACTACGTGGTAGGAAATCATAATGAAGAAAAGAGAAATAGAAAGTTTCATTTCTCTTTTCTTCATTAGAATTACTCTCATGAAAATTTGTTTAGATATCACCAATTTGCATTTTAATTTAGATTGTACGAAGCTGAATCAATCACGAATGCAATAATCCTATTTTGTGAAATAAATTCGTGAAACAAACGATTGAATTGAAATTTGAAATAATTTGCTATAAATTCCTATAGTTATAATGCATGTAAATGTTCATCATATTGTTTCTCAGGACACCTTTACCAACATAATACATAATACATGCAAACCATCAAAATATATTCAAACATCATTACGACTAATGAGTAAAACACATTACCTATATCATTAATCGGCGAGTTTGAGTTTAGCATACAGGTCAGAAGTATATTATTTAAAGAATGAGAAATGTGACTATTTTTGCGATTAGAATACTATACTTTCTCAATGATTCATAACAAGAATATTTCAAAATAATATTCATTTGTGAAGGATTTCTCAAATAAGAAAGTCTCATTTCGTGTTTTTGTTATTTGGTGACAAACTTTCGAAAAGTATCAATTTTTGAGTGCATTTTTATTCACTTCCTGAACCCTGAAGTTTTTATTCTCATTTTACTATATTTTTTAAAAGGAGCTGTCAGTTTGATGATTAAGTTTGACGTTTGAGAACATGTTTTGGAGTAGTAATTCTCAAGGTTCACTTGCCATTAACAATAATTGAAACACAGCTATAAAGTTATGAATTTGGTCAACTGTGATTTACCCGAAGATGTGAGTTATGGATATTTTTGCCTACTTACCCAACTGGAAACGGTCACATAATTGGCACTTTTTTCAATTTTCATATAAAAATATTCTTACGTTTCTGTATCTCAATGAAATTGAATTTCTCACTAACACATTCACAAGTTATGAATATTTTGTTATCTACACAACACGAGTACAATTTCAGTTATATCTGAAACGATTTTTTTGTAAATCAGGTTTGTAATACTTCTCTTGAGTTTCGCGAATCTTCACTTATATATTCATCCTACTGGCTTTGGATGAGCCAAACAAACATCATAAAGATTTCTGTCAGTATTCTTGTTTTTATTGCCACTCAAAATTTGAGATCCTTGATGAATTCGGATCTATTAACAATGCACTTTATTTGCTTTGAGCTTCATATTCTGAAAATGTATTCCAGCTATTACAATGCCTAGAGATAAGAACTCTGCTGGTGGATTCATGAAACTCAAGCCGAATGATATATTCTTGAAGTTCATGGCCCACATGAAGGTCTATAGTTAGCTCCAAATTTCTGTAGAGTTTTCAGAAATTGTTCTCTCAGTGGAATATAATAAGGGTTTTCTTTATTATTTCTGCATTGTTTCTTCAATGTGGAATCGAAAACTTGTAGATAGGAATAGGTTGATTCTATACTGGGTGACCTGGATCATCAATGTATGCCCTGAACCAACCATGGGGGTATTAGTAGAAAATACTGGTGATATACACCCGGAAACATGCACGGGAAAACTTTCATAATGTGACCGCTCGAGAAGAGAACTGAAGAAATGCTTCAACAAAGCAAAGATCGGTTCACAACAATTACCGAGCTTCTCAGTAGATATTGTTCATTGAAAGGATAGCTGAACAAAATAGGGCTATACAACGAGTCCTTAGCTGCAGATATGCATTAGAGGGGTAGATACAACTCGTCGTATTTTATGCGAATGCACTAGGTCACTGGAGGCAATCAGTTTATGGAAAACCTCTACGAACTGGTACAGGGAGTAAGATAATATGTAGTAAAAAATGCAAGTTTTCAAAGCTTTTCAGTTCAGTTCTTCAGAATATTGTGTTTCCAATGTGAAAGCAATACATGATCAATGAAGACTTCTGTTGAAATCCAAAAATTCAAAAAAAAATTAATGCCAACTGAGAACTTGTTGCATTGATTGGCAAAAGTTATTTGGGCCTCGTCTGATTATTTTGTACTTCTAGGTTCAACCTTCTTCCATTCAATGAGTCCCTAGTCATTTCAGTCATTTCATCAGTGATTCATTTTTTCCGTTAATTCTCTGGCTCTCATCAGAGGCCGTCTTCTGGCATGAACTTTCTGAAATGCTCTTTGAGTCTCCTGTAGTTGTAATGTAATTCATTGAGCTCCATTTCGATCTCCTTGATTGCTTTCCAGAAGCTGAACTGGCCTGGACAATATAAGGATATTTTCCCAGTACTCTTTATGTTTGTTATTCACCTGGTGCTGATACCATAGATTCTGGTACTTACACAGCTTGTTCAGGTGTTAAAGATCCATATCTAGTACACTCATCAGTTTTATCATTGCCTGCGATCCCTGGGTTTACAGGCATCTATTTTAAAATCAATATTTTCCGGTTCGACAATTCCTAAAGTTCTTGGGGGTATTCCCAAACCAATCACGAGTGCAGCCTGGCCCTCTCAGTATTGATCCGCCCATTCCATTCAGGTCTCAATATTGTATAACTTTCGCTTGAAAGATTGATGTGTATTGACCGAGCGTGTAACTTAAATGTAATGTAGGTATTACTTTTCTCGTGCTATGTTTGTATTTCGATCCGTCTGTATAGAATTTTCGATCATGTTCGAAAGTGTACTTAGATGTCATATAGTTCGTGAACATGTTTGATTTTCGTTCGATGCACTCTTGCCTTCCTCGTTATTACAAGATATGCTCAATGCTGCTTTTGGTGTCATTTTCATTGCTCTCATCATTCCCGGATGAGCAAATTTTTCCACCCTGCTTGGTTGGTTAACTTGTTTCAATTTTGGTCATCAAACTAAGAAAAAATGACATCTTGGACTCAACCATCATTGAGTATAGCCATTGCGTTATGTTTTAATCACCGTCACTTTCCATAAGTACGTTTTGCCAACATCATTAATACCTCCACTTTTCAGTTTATTCTTTCCGAGTATTTTCAGGTCATTCTAGAATCTAGTATCACTATCAGATATTGAACTTCCCTCGACAGTAGTATATCTTTTTCTCAACGCCTAGATTATTTTTTCTTAGGATAAGCAGGCATAAAGTAAGCATATAGTAAATTTCTTGTTTCAATGAGCGTATTTTGAGATCTGGCTCAAAGAATTTTCAAACCAAATGAGATGAGATTGATTGGTGTGGAGGCCTTTACCGAATCCTGTCTTTTTGGAATGAAGGTAATCCTAGTGTTCATATCGTATGTATCCCAGAGCCAAATTTTCTCTAAGGATTGAAGTAAATGTGTCAGTATTTTCTGCAGTGTTACTGGATGCGATTAAGGCGACTGACATGGTTGAAATGAGTGTACCATAAGTACACTTAATTTTCTCCAAATCTATCACTCTCTTTCCCACTAGCCAATCCCACCTGAATGACTTTTTCGTAATCTCCAGTTCTGAATATCTCTAGGGCTCTGATATTGAATATATCATTTTCGACCCAGAAAAATGTACTTGGAGAACATCAATATTTGCTTTCAAATTATTCCCTTCGAAAATATCTCATAGAGCCTGGCACATAGATGGGTCTATTCGACCTCCTCGTATAACCTTCTTTATATGTCTCTCTTCGATTTCCTCAGAGCTTCATTGTATTCAATTAAGGAATTTTCGTATTCACTCCAGATACCTGATTTCCTTTCCCATTCAGAGGTTTTTCTAGTTTATTATCTGATCCGTGCCAATTATTCATTACACCAGTGAAAACATTTCTGTTTGATATCTGGTTGACGATGGGACAATTTCCGTTGTACGTAGAGATAATAGCTTCTAGTAATTGAACTGCTACTAACTCGTAGTGTGTAGACTATTTTATTACAAAAAACTTGTTTTTAGGACTGCCTCATAGGCTTTTCTGTTTCAGTGTCTCATCCTTGCCAGACCCTCATTTCACTATAAAACATTCCTGTTTGAACTCTAGCTGACTGTGAAACAATATTTATTCGTACTCAGCATCCGACAGTCGGTTTGTTGATGAGTCTATTCTGAACGTCAATGTAGAGACACGATTTGTATTGCTAGTTTCAAACTCAGAAACGTAATTTTTGAAGGCAGCTATGGGGCAATTGGAACCTGAAAAAGGGGCAGAAGATAAGTGTATATTCACAACGAGTAGCAATGTCATAAGAAAAGAGATACATGTTGCAAAAACCAAAAGGAAAGCGAAATCAAAAAAAAGAGATACAAGAAACAAAAGCGTAGCAAAATCCAGACAAAGAGATACAAGCTATCCTCAAAATTTTCACATGAAATATTCATAACTGTTTTTATTGAAACTCATCAACACATACACAGACCTTACACAAAGGAATGTCGATTGTTGTCTCTTAAATAGATATCTGTTGGGCGTTCGTAGATCTTTGCAATTACCCGCACTCTCAAAACCTCTGTTCCAGGATTACGGCGACAGTTTCCAAATCCTGCACGCAGGACGCGCATTGCGCATCCTGCGTCTCGCCAAGTTGTTGTCATTGGTGCGGCTTCTTCGGCTGTCAAGGTTGGTGCGATATGTCAGCCAATGGGAAGAGGTGTATGTAAGTATATTGTTTTTTTTGTAAGTAGTCATAATGCGCTCAGCTTTCACGCAATGTGGACAGTTCCATTCATTGTGGTGGCGGTAAGTTCGAATTGACGTGACTGTACAGTATATTTGATTCTTATTTCCAATTATATATTTTCGTAATCGAACATTCTGATCACGAAACTGAAATGGAACTGAAAATTATTAGAACTCGACTTTTAGGGTGTAAACCAAGACAGGAAATCCCAGGGTATGATTTTTTTTCTGAGTGAAGTGAATGAACCACCACTTTGATGGATTTTTATTGTTTTTATTGTTGTCAGACAGAAAAACTCACAGTTTCAGCTCCACGCTCAAAGAAAACCCTTAGATCTCCTGTTTTGGCTCATCTGCCCCACGTTGGGCGCCATAAATCATAAAGCTAATAATGTAAGTAACATTTTATGTGTATTACTATTTTCGTCCAATAGGAAAAGTTTCATTTGCAGCTCTACGCTGTTGGTTCTTTCTGGATGAACAATATCAGACGTTATTTATGATCAATCAGAGAGCCTAGGTACTGCTGAGATTTAGGTGTTTGAAAAAATATTTATTTTACGCCAGAGGTTTCAAATTTTACTTATCAAATTCATTAGTATGTTACGAAATTAGTACAGAAGCCTATTCATACTGAATCTGTTTGTGATGTGACACATCAGCCACAGCGTAACATCTGAAATAAAATGGTGGAAGTTATATATGTATAATATCCTAAGTGTCCGACAGCTAGCTCAAGTTTCAGGTGTCTCTATACAAATTCAAATGTGAACAGGAACTGAAAGAGAATAGTCGTAGTATTAGGTTTGTTCTGGTTCTACGAAATTCAGGTTCTAGGACGTCAGGATTATGCGCAATTGATATACAGCGTTCTGGTTCATTGAGGATAAATTCGGACTGATGAATCCTCTGTTATGGTTTCGACTGCGAAATGATCATAAACTGTTTTGAATCGTCTCGAATCGTTCTTACTCTCGAGGCTGTACTGTTGAGAACTGTTCCCGTTGCTCATGCGCATTCATGTGGAAATTTGTTTGGGCTATTTGCTAGGATGTTTTTTTTGTTTATTTGATATGAATAATTGATGATTGAGGGTAGATAATATTTGAACTGACTATAAAGATACGCTACATATCAAAATGGACATGATCAATAGTATTTTCTCATCTTCATCTCTTCATATATGCGATAGATGGCACAATGGTCTCCTCAAAAGCGATTTGGTTTGAACGAGTGTTCGAGACTATTTCGGACTGTTTGAGATTTTATGTTTGTACGCATCATGTCTTGCGCAGTTTCCAAATAGTTTAGGATGTCAAAACCAGAACAAACCTATTATAAAAGGTTTTTATGAAGAAATCAACCTGCGTTTAAAGTTCCGAAACTTTTTATGCGAAATTTGCAAATCTGATGAATGCACATTTTCTTCAAATGGTGCTGTAAATAGACATGTTTGCCGATCCTAGAATGACGATAATGATTTCACTGAATCAACGATAATGATTCCACTGGAATGGCGATAATGATTTTATGTGTTTCATCCCTAAACACAAAGAAAATAAACATCTGATATAGCATTTCAGCGAATCATATTTTAGGACTTCTCTTCATACCCAAAAATTCAACAAGCGAAGTATACCTAAATCTGTTTGGAGATGCAATTGACTGTCATAATGACGATTGGTTTCATTTACCCTCATACGGATAATAATATATGAGAACCGAAATGTAATCGATATGTTCCATATAGTTCTATATTTGAATAAAACATGTACCATTGTATGGAACATTTTGAAAATTCTTTACAAAAAGTTGTGAAAAGTAAAAACTTGAAAGAAAAAAAACCACTTATCATATGTTTACAAAAACAGAATCCCATCAAATCATAACCCCAATCATAATCTCTCAATCAAATCATAATCCCATCCAATTCATAACAATCATTTTTGGGTATTCAAGTTTCTTTCACATACAAATTATATCCCAAAAAAATTGTTGTGAAGTGACATTCAGTTCTATAGAAATTTTAAACCAGTTCCATTCTGTTCCGTGTTATCTCAATGTTCCTTTCTGAAAGTCAACATGCTTTGTCATTCAAAAATATAATAACTCAGTTTTCATGAATAGTTATATCAATTTGAACTTTTCCATATTTCCTCACTGTCCAGTTATTTTCTTGGATTGCCAAGAAAATAATTCAATTGTGCAATTATAGGTAGTTATGATGTGCCAATGTAATAAACGATGAATTTGAGGAAAGATTAAAAAATGTATTAAAATTATCAATATTTTAAATACATTATCCAATTCCTGAATGAATTAACAAATTATATTGTGTACCAAGTCAATTCGAATGGCATAAAAACTGAATAGTTATCGAACGTCGGCAGTTTCTTTGTATGGCATGGGCGGCGTAGTATTTTTTTCAGAATTAATTTCATTTTTCATAGGCCTAGACGGATTTTTTTATCGGTAGTAAAGAGTAATATTTGTACTTACATGAGAATCAAATGAACACTTGAAATTCATTATCTGAATTTTCAGAGTTTGAATCTGAATTTGGGGTTATAATAATGGGGTCAATGGAAGAAGTGATGTACTATTCATTCTCTTTTTTAATGACTTGCTGGACATATTTCATCCATTCACCAGTGTCGTTAACTTCTTTAATAACCGTTCGTATATTTCCTAGTACGGAATCATCTCAATCGGATTGAATTCACAATAAAAAGGGGAAAGACGTATGAGCATGGGCTTCGCCTTTGTCGCTTTTTTCGAAATTTCAAAATTTTTACTTTCTGTGAATTTAGGACTACTAGTGCTACTAGTGGGAATTTTGTTATGTAGACGGGAATGATAAGCCACATTGTCCATAACAGTAACATAATTTGGGGAAAGAATTGGCAGCAGTTGTTCATTTAACCACTTTTCAAAAAGACTGGCGGTCATATCTTCATGGCAGTCAGCAGATGATGGATTTATATTTGTGTAGAATGTAGTACACTATCTCTTCTTTTGATTGGCGTCATTCCTTAATTTTTCGTAAATACCTACTGCTGCCATCTTACTACGATGCAAAATGACTCCATATTGACCAATCTTCCATTTATTTTTCTCTACTTAAACCCACAATCTAGCAAACTATTACGCAGTATTACATAACCGGAATAATGCCGTAACTCGTTACGAACCATTTCTAGAGTTGAAACCTTGTTTTCTTAGTAAAACTTGTATACAATTCGCAATTGTAAATATTTTGTAATCTTTTGGTTTGAGAATGCAAGTCTTCACTTGAAAATTCCGAAGCTGTAGAAATATCTTCAACTGAGCCTTCGACATTATCAGAAACATCACGAAAATATCTGCACAACGCCATCTTGATCAAATAATAACAACAACAAGAAAAATATTCGGAAAAACACGGCACTAATGCAATCCAACGCAGAATAAACCAATTTTATAAATTGACCCCCAAGCCACACAGTGGACTCGACATTTCTTTGAACATCATGTTTTCATGCACTATCATTTGTTCGACATACTTTGAGTAATAAGTAAAAAATTCATACGAGGTCTAATCATCATTTTTATGTGGGAGGTATTAACTAGTAAATTTACTAGACCCGGTACGGTTTTCTATTCAGCTGTTCGGGTTGACTTCGTATAGACTATAATGAATAACATTCATTCAAGAGTTTTGGATATATTTAAATAGAAAAAATAATAAATAAATAATTTCGAAAGGTGGTAATAAATGAAGCGAATTTATTGTGAGCTTTAGGCTTTTCGCAACAAAGGGCTCAGCCATGCTTGGAATGAAAAGCTAAATTTGCAACTTACTTCTCAGCACTAAGTATATCATAGATACAGTTCCGCACTTTTCAGCTAATAATACGAGTATTTTGCCTTGATTCATAAGAACCCCTTTAAAGTTATTGAAACATGTGAAACATGTATCATTTGGTCTCTAGAGAATGATTTGTTAATGTTGTTAATTCAATCAGAAATTAATTCTCCTATTCGTGTAGATGTGTTCTGAAGAACGTCGTTACAACAAAGTAACATGAACGAATCATTCTCTCTGAGTCAAATTTATCCAAGTACCGATCTTCTTACTTTAAGTGTTTTGATAAGCTTACTAGTTCTCTTTCAAACCAGTCTTGCTTATTTTTATTGAATCAATCTTTCTGTGAATCTCTAAATTTCCTTATACTTTCCAAACAGAAACACTATTTCCACACAGTTTCACAAATGTAGCTCATCATGAGCAGTCCATTACGTTTCATATTTCGAAATATTTCAAATTATTGATCAATTTGTTCCATGCCACACAGCACCTTTATGTTTGGGACATATGTAATTCCGTTGATTATGTGGAAATTATGGGAAGATGAAATAAGACATGTTCATCCTATTTACAATTATTTTCACCTCCTGGATTGAAAAGGCTTTGGTATCTCTTCTAAGATTTTTAACACATAAGTACGAACATAAATGCCTCAAAATTAACTATCTATTCGACAAATTTATAGTTTTTTTTAACTTTAACTGAACCTAAACAGCAGAAGTTACTTTCATCTGTTTACTCTCACTAATTAAACCGGCAGTTTGGTCCAGTCGTTTTAGTCAAAATTAGGTGAATATCTCAAAAATTCGGATACCTAGCTGTAAACTCGTATCAAGGTATATTTTGATATCTTTTCCTTTATCGATTTTTGCACATTTTTTGCAAATATTTCGTTTACTATGGGTTTTTCGCTATTTGTGTTTGGTATCGAATTTGTAGGGGATTAAATTCTTCACAACTTAGGGCATCATTTAAGGAAGGTCAAACAAACTTCATATGTTTTCGAAATTGCATCAGTTCATCTCAGCTGCTCTATTGCTTTCATGTTCTTACTGTAGTCTGAATATCCGTCAAATACAACAATAATTTTTAAACTCTAATACGTTTGTGAATACTTTAAATATTTATCT